AAAAAACAGAGCATTGTTTTGTTAGGCACGCACAGGATGCGCAACACCATGGCAAAGACCGCAAACTGAAACTTTAGTACAGACATTCCCATTTGTTAGGCATGTCGCAACGTGCTCGAAGGCGTCTTGAGTCTGTGGAGCTTAACGGAAGCTACTGACCGCCGCTTGACGAACGTTGCGCGTCAACAGAGGTGGCGCGATGGTGAGAACACTGAAGAGGGAGCAAGGCGTCGTAGCGAAAATGCCGAGTGTCAGCAAAGACGGCGTGAAAGTGAAAATGTTGAGGAAGTTGCAAATGGAAATGCGGAAATGCGTTCCTTGGAAATGCGCAACGCCAGTAGCGGTGTCGCCAAAATGAGAGCAGCATAGTTTGAGCCGAGCGTCGTGTTGAACATGCTGTCCGCCAGAAGAAGAGGAGCAGAAAGTGCTGACAGCTATGCCCAGCGCCTTCATGAACAAGCTCAGCGTCAGCAGAGACTTCTACAGAATGAAACTGCAGAATCAGGTGCCGAGCGTCGATCGCAAGATGCAGTGCGCCATCGCCATCGGCGAGCAAAAAAAGATGGAGAAGAGCGTGCAGTCCGTTTGGGAGTAGACGCTGAACGTCATTGAAGATCGCGTCAGCAACGAAGTCAAGGGCGAGTGAACCGCACGGAGGATGCCCAATTTCGTCAAGCAGAAGCTAATGGGGTACAGATTGTTGATACGCGCAATGTTCTCGACCGGCAAAATGTTGCTCCCAGAAAACGGCATTGCATTTAGAGAACGCAGTACAGCAAAGAATTATCTTGGTAGGCCTGAACACCGCTGCTGCAATTGTGGTGCAAAGCATTTTGCTTTTGAAGTAAAGCAGTAGCACGCCGATATATTTGGTGACTGCTGCGATTATGGGCGCTTCAATTTGGATATTTTTGAAAATTTTTCTGCCGAAATAAAGGACATTCCTTCCCAACGAATCGACATCGTCCGAAATCAGGCAAAATCGTGATAACTTTTTTGCTAACATACGAAACCTTAACTCCGCATTGGCTAAGGCATCTATGGGAGCCCATGTCGACATAACAATGGGACGCGGCTCATACTGTTTCAAAATTCAAGGCAAAATTTATCACCAAGTTGGACCAGTTCATCCGAGCAACGAGCGCGAGAGACAACATGGGCAGATCTACGTACTTGGTACGGATCTTGCCGCACAACAACGCTTAGGAAGTGCGCAAAATGCAAACTGCAACCTCGAGTTGATGCTTTACCTCAGCGAATGGTTTGCACGAAATAATGCCCAAGCGCAAACATTTGAAATGATGTACGAATTCACACGGGCCGAGGAAGCTGCGCAACGAGAATACAGA